GGGAAACTAAACAGCCACTGGCCAAAAGGATGGCCCAGCACAGAAGATCAACATCATCAGGCCAGGACTCTGCGGTCTACACTCATCTCCAGGCCAGCGGTCACTCTTTCAGGGATGAAGATGTGCACATCCTGGACAGAGAGGAACGATGGTTTGAGAGAGGAGTAAAGGAGGCCATCTTTGTGAAAAGAAACCGTCCATCATTAAACAGGGGTGGAGGCCTCCGGGTTCAACTGTCCCCCTCTTACAATGCTGTGATTGCTAGTATCACTCAGCCCTCTGTGAACAGTAAACAGCCATCAGTGTGCTAATGATCCATTGTTAGGCTGATGGTCCTTCTTGAGCATGTGATCAGCTGGTTTTGGTTGTCAGCAGCAAACTGGTTGATCCACTCTGAGAAGGTGCTATTTAAGAGACCGAGCTGAAAACAGCACCTCAGACTGAGGAAGTCTCTTGGATGAGAGACGAAACGTTTCTAGATTTTTTTGCCTTGTTTTGTTTTTGCTTTTTTGAATGTCCAGAGGACCAGATTGAACTTTTTTGGACATTAATGTAGTAAACTCATATCATGCAAAAAGTGTGTGAAATGTTGTGTTTCCAATAAAATTGATTTGTATGAATGTGTTGTTTCTTCATATTTCACAAAAATAATTATAAGCAGATAATTTCTCATGGATAAGTAAAGTATTATTTGGCCAAGAAACCCACTTTCTCTATTTCACACAGTAATGAGCTTTATTTTGAAATCTTACATTAAGCATCTTCCTATACGTTCTTTAAATTATTTAGGGACTTTAGTTGCTAAATTCTGCTGAGGATTTTTAATTTTTTCCATACTTTAAGGAGTTAAGTTGCTCAACATTTTGAATAAAATCTGTTTGACCTGCTGGAGCTCAACATTGTTAAGATAACTCTCAGCCACTACCAAAATTTTAGTTCAGTGCATATAAAAGTGATTGAGTTGGAAATATTTTTATATTGGCTAGGGTCATTTACTGTAGTAGTGGCAGGAATCTTGAATTGGGTTAGTTAATTCTGAAGTAAATAAAAAATAAAATCTTACACAATCTCTTAGTGACATAAATATGAGTTGCAGATGATCCTCTGCTACTACCACACCAAAAATGAGCTAAATATCTCTGAAATTGCCCGAGTTCCAGTCATTTTTGAGTTTGCTGGAATGGATGGAAGCCATCTTTAAGGTTCATCACATTGGAAAAACAATGCCAACCACTGGCCAGATGTGTCATATTGTGAGTCAATGAGGAAACACATTTCTTTACAAAGCTGCTTTATTTTGTTTATTGGTTGTTGGTCACAGGTAGAAAAGTAGAATAATAAACTTAGAATGTTACAGTAAAACTGTCATAAGAATGGAATACTCAGATAGAAAGGACCGAGGATGAACAAGTCAGACAAAAGAAATGGAATTCAATGCTTTTATTTACAGTGGATAATTAAACAGGAATCCCGTGGAGCAAGAAGATGGGTTTAGTTAAGGATTATTGAGCATGGACTTTTTTGGTTTTGAACTAGTTTGACATGACTATCAACAAGGAAGAGGGCCAGCATCGGAGGAGGGGGCGTGCCAAAGACACCATCTTAGCACCAACATAACTGGTTTGTTCCACTTTGGAGTAAGCTGTTTGGGGGAAGAATCAGTTTTGTGTTGTGTGTTTCCTTGACTGATGAAGCCTTCTGGATGGAAGGTGAAACGTTTCAGTAAAAGTGTCCTAGTGTTTTTTAATCTGCGACCTTATGTTTTAAATGCTTTTTATTAATTCTTCAGTTATTATCATTATTAGTGTATTGTATATATATGTTTATATATGTTTCTCTTTAATTTACTCAGTGATTGTTGTTGTTGTTAAGCACTTTGATAACAGGTTCTGTTTTAAATGTGCTCTACACTGTATAAATAAAGTTGACTTGACTTGACTAAAAAAAGAAACTGTCCAGATGACCTGACTGAAAATTGTTGGATTGTATACCTGGATTATTGAGCATGGAATTTTTTGGTAAAGGAAACCCATAATATCCATCCATCCATGATCTTTTACCCGCTTCTTCTATTTTGGGTCACAGGGGTCACCGGTGCCCATGTCCAGCAATCACTGTGCGAGGGGCAGGGTACACCCTGGACAGGTCTCCAGTCCATCACAGGGACACATAGAGACAAACGAGACAAACAACCATTCACTCTCTCACTCACACCTAGGGACAATTTAGAGTTACCAATCAGCCTAACATGCATGTTTTTGGTCTGTGGGAGTAAACCGAAGTACCCGGAGAAAACCCACACATGCACGGAGAGAACATGCAAACTCCACCCAGAAAGGCCCCCGGACCGGGATTTGAACCAGGGATCTGCTCGCTGAGAGGCAGCAGCTCTACCAGTTGCACCACCGTGCTGCCCATGAACATACTATGTCTGTGGTTAACACAATCTGCCAATAACGCCTTATTTTTAGACATAATATGTCTGTGGTTAACACAAATGGCTTTTTTTTTTGTTCAGCCTTTATTTCCATCCAATCAGATGTGGCCCTCCAGATACGCCCATTTTTCTATCGTTCAGTCATGTGTGACACTCCAGATACGCCCATTGTTTTATTGTCCCATCAGATGTGGCCTTCCAGATACGCCTTCTGAATTTGTCTGCAGAGATACCTACTTGGGTGATTGAAGGCCAGGGTTCCTGAATCCTTAGAAGCATCCAGAAAGTCCAGAGATCACAAGAGAGAGTGTGGGGCTTGAGACACAAGAAAGCAGCTGAAAGGGGCACAGGTGAGTTCCTGAGGTCACATGGATGTCCGAGGGTGCAGGTAAGTCTCAGGTGGTTCACTGGAAAGATCGCAATGCACAGGCAAATAATCACAAGGTTCACAAGATGCATAATGGGCTGAGAGCACGAACCATAGTCAAAGGTAGTGCTCCAGCACTGAAGTCTTCACAGCATCATCCTTATGCTCAGGGTTCTCATCAGTGTATATTGGCTGCAGGTGTTCAAGTATGGCACTTTCTGGTTCTCGAACGCTGGAACTATGACAGTACGTCCCCCTCAACGATCGCCTCCAGGTGACCTGAAGCGTTTCTCAAGATGGGCCTGGTAGAACGAAATGATGAGGCTGGGATCCAAGATGAAAGACATTGGAACCCAGGACCTCTCCTCTGGTCTGTACCCCTCCCAGTCGACGAGGTTTTGAAGGCCTTGGCCTAGGTCTTACATCCAAGATGCGCCTGACCGTTTCGGCAGGGTGGTTGTCGACCAGACGGGGGGAGGAGGGAAGCCAGCAGGAGGGCTCAAGGGACTCTCAACAAAAGGTTTCACCTGTGGCACATGAAAGGTAGGGTGGATCCACAAAGAAGTGGGCAAATGAAATATACACTCCAGATGTTTTGTAATTCTTTTTTTTGTAAATAACAATTTTTTTTTGTGAATATGATATAGTGTCTTGAGTTCCTATGACATCACAGTGACCAGTCGACGTCAACTTGACTTTTATCATGTTGAAGTTGACTTTAAAAATATGTAGTCATGCATTCCCTAGTGTAGACCTCTCATAATCACCTAACGTAAAATGTTCATTTTAAATCCTGTACAACCACACCGTAAAGCGGTTAAACCTGGAAAGGCAACTATCTATTTTTAGTTGTGCCATCCCTTTTCTTTCTCCCGTTGGAGTTCTTTGGATTCTCTTTTCACAAACACCATCTGAAAAAAACAAACAAAAAAAAAAACTGTTAAAGAGATATTTTCAGAAACCGCCCTTCAGTTTCTGTATTATGAAATAATAATTATAAGAACCAGCAGAAAAACAAACAGAAAAACAAACAGAGAAACTCCAGTCTTTGCTTGCTCCACCACATGGGAGCAGGTTTCTCATACTGTATGTGGTGTTGTTCATAGTTCGAACATTCTCATCATAGATTCTTATATGTGCTCAGGTCCTTTTCTTGGTGAAGCAGGCTGTTACACGTCAAGAAAATTCTTGTGTCAATCATAGAACAAGTGAAGTGAAACCAAGCTGCGCTCTGCGTAACTGCCTGAGTTCTTTTCACATATTTCTGGTTGTTAGGCCAGTTTTACTTCTATTTATATTTTGGCATATAGTTTTAAGAGATATTTTTCACATTGTTAAATGCTGAAATTAATTTTTTTTTTTTTCTTTCAGCTGTTCCCTTCTTCAGGAGTCGCCACAGCAAACTAACCCCCATGAAGAATTGGCAATTGTTTTTACTGTAAACCGGATGCCCTTCCTGACGCAACTGTAGACAACAGAGCTACCACAGCCCTCTGTGTGGACAAGAGAGCTGCCATCTAGGGTGCCCAGGGGAGCTGATGGTTGGGGTTAAGGGCCTTGCTCAAGAGTCGGGCAAATGAGGGTGGAGGCAGGTGTGGGTTAAACCAGCAACCTTCCGATCACAAACCCACCTTCTCTAGCCATAATTTTGGACTTGTTTTGATCAGTTGGTCCCTCAACTCATTTTACAACATTTCTTCGAAGAGAAGACAGGCTTTAGGCGAGCCGATTTGCCCTGTTGGCACGCACGCAGCTGGATATCTCATCGACAGGAAGACTTGATAATGTGTCTATCTCTGCTGCCATTTGTGGATTTTAAGGACACATATTTAATTGGATTTACGATAACTGGTTCCTGCTTTTTGGATTCAGCTGGTGCTGGTTTTATCTATAATCAAGAAAATCGTAGCCAGCAAATTTGGACCCGATCACACTGCTTGCCTTTATGATGGCTTGGTTCATGTCTCGAGTACCCGGACTCAAATGCTTTGGGCTGAATGGATCAGATCTTGGGGATTTTACTCAGTCACGTTCCATTGGTGTGGCCATGTAATTTGGGCATTTCGGAACCGAGTCGACCAACACAGACTCAAGGTAGACGTCATTAAGTTCTGCCTGTCCCCAAAACAGCTGTGTGTTTATCTGAATTTGGCTCCCTTGGCTGGCCTTGAAGGCCATCTTATCTGAATTCGCCTGGAGAAAATTTGATCTGACGCTCGCCGCCCACTTCCTGAGGAATTTCCAACTGATAACCAGATGAAACCAGCTGAATAAACTTGTGTCATCATTTCAGGACTCTTGGATTCTCATAGACGTTATTCTTGGCCATTCCTCAACATACCTCGAGAATGTTTATGGATCTCACCAGAGGACATTGGCTGATTATTACATCCTTATCAGAACTCTTACAGTGACCTCGAGAGCATCTATGAACATTGCTGACCGCTCTCGTCGTCTCCCCTGTCTGCAGAATGTCTGTGTCACTATGTGCTTGTTTGTGCGAGGTGTTTTTTTAATACTAGAGGTTTTTTTTTTTTCTCAGGCAGGAAAAAAAAAAGTCTGATAGGAATTTTTTCGCCTCCAACTCCTACGTGTCCAGTTAACCACTGTTTTTGTCTGTCTAAACAGGTCTCACTTGTAAATGAGTCTTTGAGGCTTAATGTGATTTATCTGTTTAAATAAAGGTTGAATGAAAAAGTATTCGTAAATACGTTTATTTGAATTTTATTTAATATAGATTATCTTACTGTTAAAATGTACTTACAGTTGGCGCCAAAGTCTGATTGGTGACGTATTTCCGCCCTGGGGCACAAAATTCTTTGCCCATAGACTCTTGTTAAAAGTTGTACATGTGCAGTAGCTCCTCTTCAATACAAGAGATAAGACATTTTGGAACGCAACTCTCCTGCGCTCGGAATGCAGCATGAGACGATCGGACGGAGATGCGAAATGGAACAAGAGAATAGATGAGATAGAAGCTAATTGTGTGATGTAGGTCTTTTACAATGGTTTTTAATCATAGTAGTGCTGTATTGTGAAAAAATGGGGAGTACACCTTGCCCTATATAATAGTCTACTTTTTCATAGGTGCTATGTGAATTTGCATTGTCGCTATTAAATGAACATATATACTCATAAAATAAATAGTTTTTATATATTAAATAATTTGAAAGATGACTAATAATCATCTCCATATTGCATTAAAATGGTGCATTCATTTTTTAGGTTATGTAAAAAGTAGAATACATGACATTATAATTTGCTTTTGTTGTTTTCATTCATGTAAATACACTGGTGTGATCCCCAAGTATATGTTTAGGTATATGTCTATTTTGGAGTTATAGCCCCCCTAGAGAAAACTCCACCAGCTGCCACTGCATCTCAGGGCACTGAACAGATACATTCATATATGTATAAATAATTTAACACTATTTATCTGAGGAGCAGACTGCTTTGAATTTAACTCTGTCACAGAACTCTCATCTTGAGCAAGCATGAATGTGACAGTGGAAAGCAGAAACTCCCTCATGAGGAAGAAACCTTTAGCAGAACCAGGCTCAGGACAAGCGGCCATCTGCTTCGACTGGATGGGTTTGAGAGAAATAGGAAGGAGGAACAGATACACAATGGCAAGTCAAGAATCACATGTTAAGATAGAAATAGTATCAAATGAAAACAATTCAATTGTAACAATTAATTTAAGGAAATTAGGTCAATTTGTTCTCTAGTAGTGTAAGGCTATATATGGCAGCATAACAAGCATAACAAGTAGTCTAAACCTATGGCAACATAATAAGCAGCCTTAACTATAGGATTTATCAAAAAGGAAAGTTTTCAGCCCAGTCTTAAAACTGGAAATGTGTCAACCTCACGGACAGAAACTGGAAGTTGGCTCCAGAAGAGAGGAGCCTGATAACTGAAAGATGTTCCTCCCATTCTGCCTCTGGAAACCCTAGGAACTGTGAGTAAGCCTACAGTCTGAGAGCAAAGTGCTCTGTTAGGAAAATATGGAACAATAAGATCTCTAATATAAGATGGAGCTAAGTTGTTGAGAGTTTTGTAGGTTAACTTAAACATAAGATTTTGAATTGAATTCTGGACTTGACAGGGAGCCAATTGAGGGAAGCTAAAACTGAAGAGATATGATCTCTCCTACTAACTCCAGTTAAGAATCTGGCAGCAGAATAAAGAAGTATTTGGCCACCCAGATAACAAACCATTGCAACAGTCCAGTCTAGACGTGACAAATACATGAACCAGTTTTTCTGCATAATTTTTAGATAAGATGTTTCTAATTTTAGCGAGATTACGCAGGTGGAAGAAGGTGGTTCTACTAACGTTTTTAATGTGGGGGATAAAAGACATGTCCTGATCAAAAGAACACCAAGGTTTTTAATATTTGAGCTGGAGGACAGATTAATGCCATCCAAGGAGGGTGAAAGACTTTGAGTAAGATTATTGTTTAAAGCGTTTTTTGTTTGCGTCTATCTCTGATTTTAATTTTGACATTCTTTCTTGCATTTTGAAAATAAGAAAATGACTTTCATGAAAACATCATTCCGCCTGCAAGAAAATACTATTTGCTCTTAAA